GAGAGAGAGAGAGAGAGAGGAAAGAGGTATTTAGTGCTCAACTCAGCTCTACTCTACAATTCACTTACTTTTTGTTCTGAAACTCTCGAAAAGTGCACCAAAATTGCAGACAAAATCACTCCAACAAACGTATGCCTAAACTCTAACTCCTCTCTCACTACAAACACAACACTTTTATTCCGTATATTTGTCGGAATATTCTGTGAATATGTTTAAAGAAAATTCTCTAAAACTTGAATATAGTTTTAGAAATTATAATGGTTTTAAACAATGCTTTTATGTTTAATAATTAGTGTAAATAAAATTGTTATCAAAAATAGTTTTATTTGAAGTACTTGTGAGGTATCGGTAAAGAGTGTTTTGAGCGCATATTTATCCGATGTCTCACATATTGTGCAGTATATGGTGTGTGTAATACAGTATATAAATACAGTTAAAGTACAGTTAGTCTACAACTGTATTCCGTTATTCAAACATTTGCCACAAATGAATATAGTTTTAGAAATTATAATGGTTTTAAACAATGCTTTTATGTTTAATAATTAGTGTAAATAAAATTGTTATCAAAAATAGTTTTATTTGAAGTACTTGTGAGGTATCGGTAAAGAGTGAAACTCGCGTATAAATAGGCTACAGAGTGTATAACACGTCATATACCACACACATTATGTCATATATTTATGTCAATTTCATGTCAATCAGATGTTGACATAAGGCAATAAGTTTGTAAACGGTGTTTATTATAACCACTGTTTGTATGTATGGTATGGCCTATTAGACCGATAAATAGCCACTAAATCTATACTTACTATAGTATATGACGTTTAATTGACACAAATCCTAAAAGACTGCATTCAATGCAATTGTTTTACAGTTGAGTCGAAGAAAAGTTAAAACCCAAGCAAAAGGATAGTTTGCGCAAAGATTGGACTCAAAACCTAATAATAAGTGATAACTAATCTCTTAATATTGTCGCTACTTTTCGTTCACATCAATATAAATGTGATATCAATAGGAGTTTACGACCACTTATATTGTCATTGCTTTTGGACACAAATAGATAAGATATATCATATATATCCCACTGTATTAACGGATAGCCCTCTCCTCTACTCCAACGTTAACTCTGTTTTAATCGATAATTTCGGACAAAATCTATTGTTCGCAAAGAGTTGTAGCGTTTAATTGCTTTCCGTTCATAAATCCCGACACTTTAGGAGTCATCTCCTCATGTGATGAAGTAGTCGTCCATTTGTGGGTCACTTCTCAATGCAAGACATTTATCCCAATAATCATGTCTTCTCATTGTTCTCGCATAACATCTATGAAAAGTATTGACTTGAGTGGCAGTCGATGCAAATGTTTGGTCCAATCGTTTTGCAAACACATCTTCGGTCTCAAAGGCAATCACTTTTTGCTAACTCTTTCATTCAAAGGTGTTTTTCCGATCCGATTCAAAATCGGTTGATTGTCTTCAGTTGATTCACTCAACTCTCATCACAACAAAAGTTATCATTTTTTCATTAAACAAAACTTTATAACAAACTGTTGTTTCATTTGTTTTGGACCGACTCTGCAATTGTTTTGTGCATAAAATATGCCAATAAATCAGATCGAGATGTCGGCCCCAATAACTAATACAAATGTTAATAATCCGAGTACTCCTCCATCGGTGGTAAGTCTCATACCAACCAATAAAAAGTCAAGTACTTTGAGACCCATAAAGAAGACATATCTTTGGTGGTAAGAATGCATTCAATTATATTGTCTTTTTATGTAACGTTTAATAAATTTTATAATTTTAATGTTAATTAAGATATTATTTTTAATAAAAACAATTGATTTGCATTTTATTGCAATTTAAGTCCAGTATAAAAGTTAATGTGAAATTAAACTGCACCCGTACTCTACCCTAATATACTTTAACCTAAGATATAATATTAAATTCTTGCCATATCTTGATTTGACTGTCGGTATCATTATTTTTATAATATTAATATTTAAATCCATAAATATATTGTTTGTTTATGATTATGAATAAGATATGGCTTTATGTTCACGTGTGATCCCTGTTATCAGTTATATAACATATCAAACATATAATAGCTTATATAATATAGTGATTACTGTTTTACAAATATTTTATGTTTTGATAAAAAGATGTTAACCAAAGAGACCGCAGATAATGATAGTATTATTGGCTAATCGTATATAAATTGAAATTGCATTTAAACAATGAAAATTCACAAATAAATTGAACATTTGTTTAACAACTGTTTAAATATACATTAGTGTCGAAACATATATCACTAAATGATATGATTTTATAATTAATGTTCAGTATATCGATATATTTAACTTTTGTTATAACTTATAATTAATCATTAATGTAACATCAATTGATCAAATCAAGTATTTTTTCAAAAGTTTTACTGAATCCCAGATTTAATATTTCAAAACACATTTTTTAAATTTTTGATTTTTATCAATAATTTATATTTTGATTTTTTGTTAAAAATAATCAGAAAATATTAAATGCATTAAATTCTCGTTTTATTTTTGTGTCTCTTTCGCGAATGTCTTCGTTTTAAAAGCAATGATTTTCTGCAAACGTTTTCCTCATTTAAAATACAGTCAATAATATAGTAATAAAGTGTGAAAATGGGGTAGAATTGAGACAAACAGAGACAATCTCTCACTACCTATGGTTTTGTGCTCAAGAATTGAATTAATTTTAATTGTATTTGAAAACAATTGTGGTTAAGACTGACGCCATTCAGACTTCAAGTTAAACAACAAAATCGTTGTGTTATTAGAAATGTTTTCACAATTTATTGAATTCAATACAAGACATGATATGAAATGTTTTGTTGCATTTCAAGTGATCTCCGCTGATAACTATTGTATATATTGACAAATAAATACTTTTATCAATAAAAATTGGTTGTAATTAATTGTGTTTTTATTATATTTGTTTGCATCTATGATGAGCCCATATTTTGTTGGCTTTTATTCTTCAATTGTGTCAATTCAGCACTTTTTGGGCCACTTTTGAAACTGAATTCAATATTTACTTTATATATAAAAAATATTTTGATTTGTGAAGAGGAGAGAGAAAAAAGTCTTAACGAAACCTGAATTCAATTGAAGTGAATGTTTGCGATTAAGACTTCAATTGATTTCAAAGTTTATCACAAGTTTTTATTTTTTCAACAAAAAAGATTGACATTTATTATTAAAAAACGGAATATTTTTGAAACTTTATTTTTTACTTTCACTCGGATTTTTGAAGTGTCGGTCAATTCATAACACTATATGTTATGTGATTTGTTTTGATTATGGATTCATCGAAATTACAAAAACAACTCTTAAGAGAAACTCTAAGCAAAGAGTCAGCGATTTTTATTATGGTTGAGAACTCGAAGTTAGATTCGCTATCTTTTCAATATATATTACTTTTAATTTTAATATATTTGTCGACATGTGTTGTGAATTACAATAAAATTGTGGCTTTTGTTTGTGATAGGAATCCACCATGGTGGAACAGGAGGACCAGGATGGAAAGATCTCTTTGTGCCATCGCAGTCATCGCTCTAGTCATGTGTATAGCCATGACTTTTGCATTGGCTTTCATTGGATATCACTATCAAAACCAATTAGGTTTGTCTTCTTTTGAATACTTTGAATACATTATATATAATAGTTATCGTTTGATTGCATTCATCTCATAAAACGAGACCAATACTAATGATTTAATTAATGAGTTGTAAGACATTATATCTTATCACTTGGTTTTTATTTATCATATAATATATACGAAAATAAGTACAAAATTTACATTATTTGTATAATCTTATTTAAGATCTTATTTATGTCTTTACATCACTCGTTCAGGTATTAAATACCCAAAATATTTATCAAAATAAATTATATTAATTCATAATTCATTATTTTGTTGTTTAAAATTTTGAAAAAATTGAATTAGCTTATATTATACTTTAAAATAAAAATTCTATATTAATGTATTTTTATAACTTATTCTGTTTAGAATTTGCATAATAGGTAAATATATAGCCATAAAATTTAAAATTAAATTGTAAATTTTACAATTGCAAAGAAATGAATTTGATTAAAAATCAATTAGAAATCAACTGATAATTGCTTTCCTGATTGGAGTCAATAAAATAAATTTCCCCTTTCGTTGCATTTCTTTTTATGACCCGCTTTTGTATTCAATCCCTAAATTTGTTTCATTTGTTAAATAGTGAGAGCTATTAGTGTTCAACAATCGCTCAATCATTAGAAATTCAGCCAATTTTTACTTCAATTGAGAATTTCTATTCAAAAGAAATATATTTTTTCTTATTTATTGCTAAATGAATGTGAGCTTTGAATAAATGATTAAAAATTGTCTGATTTTTGCTACATTTAATTGAATTAAAAATTTTCCATTATTTACATCTATTTTGTCTGAAAGCGATGACAATTACAAAACTTTAATTAAAAAGATTTAAATTAATGCATATTTTAATTTAATTAATTTGCACGTTTTAAAATGTAGACTATAATTTATTGTTAGATTAGATTATCTATCAATTTATTTCAATATATTATTCTGGAAATAAACAAAATGTTTAACTAATCAGGAAAAGTGGTTAACATTTAGGTTAGTAAATGCTAAATGAGACTTATTTTTATTTATAATTGAGATTATTTTCCTATTTAATCGATTTGTTATATAATATTTTAATATCTATCTATTGTTACACATCTATTCTCAAACACTTATTAAATAAGTTTTAGTTATAAATTTATATAAAATATTAACAAAAAGTAATATAAGTGTAATTAAAAACAATAATCTATAATTAAAGACAATTAATTGTATGACTTCTAGAGTCGAGGGGTTCATCGAGTCTGAGGCCAACAGCCGAACAACTAGTCAAAGACAGTGAAGTCCAGCCCAACGCTAACTCTATACAAACCAATAACGATAACGTTTGTCTTACGGCCGGTTGTGTTAAAGCAGGTATTATTCACATGTGTTTTATACGAATCAATTTTAATATGCAATAATGTGTTTGATTGTCATAATAGCGGCTGATTTGCTAAAAAATATTAATGATAAGGTCTCGCCGTGCGATGATTTCTATAAAGTTAGTGAAAACTTGATTTGTTTGCTAATGAATGTTAAAATATATTAAAATGTGATAACTCTATCGTATAACATAGTTCGCGTGCGGGGGTTGGGTCGACAGTCAGGTGATTCCCGACGACAAGACATCAGTTTCAGTGTTTTCATTACTTCAGGACGAACTCAATAACAAACTCAGAGGTATTCATAGATTAAAATACATGTGATTATTAACTGATGATAACTTTGATTGTAATTTCCCTTCAGTTTTGGTTGAAATGCCGGCCGAAGAAAAAGAGCCAAAATTTTTCGTCAAAATGAGGAATATGTATAAATCGTGTATGAATTTGGGTAAATATACCACAAAATAAATATAAATATATACTTAGAAAATAAGCATAAGATATATAGACATCGACGACAAGTCAAACTTATAATAGTTCTTCAGAAACTTTCTTAATTTATGATATTATTTATTGCTAAACAGTTTAGGACAAAATTTATGACATTTGATTGTATGGAAAAAGTTAATATTTATTTATAATATTGAAACAATTTATGTTTGCAATTAAGCTGACATTGAAAAGGTGGGCAATACTCCAATACTGATGGTGTTGGAGAGTTTGGGCGGTTGGCCCGTATTATCCGGCGCTGATGGTTGGGACGAAAGCAAATTTGATTGGTTACAGATGTTGATTGAGTTTAGAAAGTTGGGATTCAGTCACGATATACTTATGGATCTGTCGGTTACGCCTGACTTTAGAAATAACACACAGCATATCATTGACGTAAGCACTAAATGATGGCAATAATTAAGATAACATTTGGCTAATGATATGTGTTTTGTGTTAACGATAACCCTAACAGTTAGATCAGGCGTCGCTCGGAATGCCTGACAGAAGCTATTTGTTGCGCGGACTCAACGACTCGGCGGTCGCCGGATATTATAAGCTTATGGTTGAGAGTGCAGTCATATTGGGTGCCAACCGATCGACGGCTGAACAGGAAATGCTTGAAACACTTAATTTTGAGACAATTCTGGCAAATGTTAGTTAATTATACAAAAAAAAAACATCTCAATATTTTCTTTGCACTTCATTGAGAGTTTTTTAAAATTATTTAAAACTAATGTTTTTTATTTTGTTTGTCTCTTCAGTATTCACTGCCTCGTGAGGAGCGAAGGAATATCAGTCTATTGTATAACAAAATGAATTTAACACAAGTGGCACTCTTAGCCCCAAAGGTACTATTCTTGACAACTCTCTCTCTCTCTCTCTCTCTCTCTCTCTATGATAAAAATCTGTTTGAACTGATATAACATATGATATCTATTATGAATGAAAATCGAAATCCATTTGTGGTTCGGATTTAAGTGGGAAAATGCACTTTCGCTCTCTCTCTCTCTCTCTCTCTCTCTCTCTCTCTCTCAAGTATTTATTTGAAAAGTGAAAATAGTGTCGAAAATTCATCAAAATATTAGTTATGAGTTTTGAGTAAAAAAACTAATTTTTGTTTAAAACTATCTATTTTTAAAAATCTAGAGGAAACACACGAAACAAAGTTTAGGAGTTTTTAAACTTATTTTTTTTCAAAAAACAGAATCGTGTTTCTCTGATGTGAATCTTTAAGCAATAAATAACAACATTTTTGTGATTGAAATCTTTAAATCATGTGCTCTTAGAGTCAGTTATATTTTATGAATAATATTATGTTTAAGTTTTGAAATATTCTTATTTTTATTTATAATTTTAGCTGAATTTCTAATGAGATTTTGTTAGCAAATAAAAAATTAATACAAAATACTATCAAAAAATTATGTTAACATAAATGTTGTGTATATTATATTACAGACCGAATGGAGTAAATACTTCAACAACTTATTGAGTGAATCGGTCACCGATAAGGAAGAGATTATAGTAAATGTACCCAATTTTATACGGAGTGTCGACACACTTATCGCACAAACAAAGAAACGGTACGGAAAATGATACCAACGAGTTATCATATTTTTACCATTCATTTCTTATATATAATTTACGAAATACAGAACTTTAGCCAATTATATGCTATGGCGAGTAGTTTTGCAGTCTTTCGCAACTTTGGGCAAAAAATGGCGAGAATTAGCGCAAGAATACAATACTGTAATCACAGGTCAGGCCCGGGAAGAGCCGCGTTGGGAACAATGCATGTCTTCACTGACCGGCAGTTTGGGTATCGCTCTCTCGTCGCTATACGTCAGACATAATTTCAAAGGCGACAGTAAACATGTGGTCAGTAATGATTTATATCATAATCATTTAGTCGTTCTTTAAATTGGATACTAATTATGAATTGTTTTAATGAAATGATTACAGGCTTTGGATATGGTTGAGTACATCCATCGAGAATTCCTTAAGATATTAGAAAGAGTGGAATGGATGGACGAAAAGACCCGACAAAAAGGTAGTCACTCTGAGCACCGTTTGTATTGACACAACTAATGTATTTGTTTTGAAATCATAGCCAAAGATAAAGCCCATGCGATCACACCATATATCGGATATCCCGATGAATTGCTTGATAACGAAAAAATTGGAGAATTATATAAAAATGTAATTTAAAAATATTGAGAATTAGTGCAAAGACACTGCCTATCATTCATTAACACAGATTTAATTTATAATTTGTATAATTAGTTGGAGTTATTTCCAAACGATTATTTCAAAAATGTACAAAACCTTCGCCGTTGGTCTACAGACTATGCTTTCAATCAATTAAGAAAACCAAACCTTAAGGGAGAGTAAGTATTAGATTTACAATTATGAGGGTTTCAATCATATAAACGGTTAATGAATACAATTATGAGATGTTATAGATGCATATTAATCATACAATTATTCTATTATGAATTTTATTTGTTGGAAATAATTATCATGTTTGAATTACTCGTTGACCTAATGGTCGATTAGGCATTTAATATAATTACTGATTATTAATTAGTAGTTAAATTTTTCACATTACACAATATCCACACAATTATTTTTAACTAAAATGACTGCTTATAATTGGGTTTATTGGCTGTTTGTATGGTTTAAATGATTGTTATATTAATGAAAACCTTTTCTAATTGATGATATAGTTGGAGAAAACACGCCAGAGCTGCAGGTATGCTATCAATCATCACAACTTCTTATATAACTATTTATTTCAAATCCAATTAAAAATTACAAATATACAGTATAATTTATATATAAATGATAAATGGTAAATTACACGTTTAAACCTACAAAATTAGAATGTATATGCATATATTTTATGTGAATCTCTTTTATAAATACATGAATATAAAAATTATAGACATGACATTTACAGAATAATTTATAATATAGTTATATTTAAACATCAAACAAATATCTGACAATTAATGATGAATATTATGGACTAATTATGCAAATATTGTCAAAATTTAATTGATTTTAGTCGTAAACGCATACTATAATGCATTGGAGAATAGTATAGAATTCCCGGCTGGTATTTTACAAGGATCATTTTTCAGCAGAGATAAGCCTAAGTAATATTCTTATAATATTCTGTTGATATTGTTATTGAAATAAACCCAATGTTTTTACAGTTACCTTAATTTTGGTGGTATTGGGTTTGTGATCGGACACGAGGTTTGTTTTTTCAATACTATGACAATTAACGATCATTTAATTTATAACTTATTTTAAATTAGATTACACACGGATTTGATGATAGGGGTGAGCGATACTAACGTTATTATCTAACTTTAATATTGTTTGAAATGACTAAACAATATAATTGTATGGATGTATAGGCCGTCAGTTTGACAAAGATGGAAACAACAAGAATTGGTGGGACTCTCAGACTGACAGCAACTTTAAAGACAGGGCTCAATGTATTATTGAACAGTACGGCAACTTTACTGTACCAGAAAATTCATTACAGGTATTATCATATAATATTAATAATTTATATTATATTAATTTTAACAAATACATCATGTTTAATATAATTAATTTTGGTATAATGTATATTAATATTATTGTTAAGTTTCATTGGTTCTGATATTCATTAGAATTACTTTAGGACAACAATAAATTGTTTTCTTTATACAATATTTGAAGGATAAATGAACAAAATATTCAAATTTTAATTATAAAAATATTACAATGATTTAATCAAAGCTTATTTATTAAGATTACACTATAATTAAGACCAAAGCTAATGAACTATTTTAACAATAATGAAAAAATAACAAAAGAAAAATAATTTACTGAAAGAAATCTAAAGCCTTAATGAGTAAAATATTATAATTTGCTTAAATTAAAACATTACAATTAGTATTTTACAAAGATTTATGAATAAAATCGCATTTTATATCCAAAGATCAATGGAGTGAACACTCAGGGAGAGAACATCGCCGATAACGGAGGCATTAAAGAGGCGTTTAGAGTATGTATTCGTTTATTACTTTATGTATAAATATCTCGTAATATTATAATTTTAAAAATAATGAATAAATATTTCAAGAGATGATTAAAATTATAAACTATACACTTATTAAGAATATTTGATTGTATTTTCCTTTTGAAACGGCTTTAGGCATATCAAGAATGGGTCAAAGATCACGGCCCGGAGAAACCACTGCCCGGTCTTAACTATACACCTCAGCAGCTATTCTGGATCAGTGCGGCCAACGTGTGGTGCGGCAAATACAGGCCCGAAGTGTTGAAACTGCGGGTTCAGGTGGGCTCTCATAGTCCGGCACAGTTCAGAGTTGTGGGTCCGGTCTCTAATTTGCCTGAATTCGCACAAACATTCAACTGTCCCATCGGTTCCGCTATGAATCCAAAGCACAAATGCTCGGTTTGGTAATCATTATTACATACAATATGTTTATATCCATTGGTTTTTATTATATTAATAGCGAAACAAAAAAAAACATAGTTATTGTTATATAATTTAATTAATTCTTTAGACAATTTTAATTTTTCAGACAATTTCTCTGAATCTCATTCTAATCGTACGGTTAGGTTATGTCGTGTTTGTCTCTCATATCTATAGATATTATCTATAAATCAAAATAAAGTGACACTTTGTATAAACGCAATGAAAGTCATACAAACAAAAAAATTAACACACATTTTGTGAATAATTATTAATGAAGTTTTCAAAGTATACGTTAAAATTTAACGGTTAAATGTTTATTACATATTTGGCTGAGAGTATAGTACAGTACAGTAGGTATACCTCGTCTACCCCTAACACTCGTCCACTCCTTATCCCTCTCCCCTACCCATCACTCATTGATTTAAAAACATGAAAAATAGTTGCAATTTCTTTAATAACTTATTTAAAAATTAGTAAAAATAATCATTGATTGTATTAAACAAATAACATTTAAATGAATACATTATTGGTTTGTGTAATGGATTTTATAGAATGCGATCATTTTAAATCATTTACTCGTTTACTTGTTATTGTAAATGATTGGACACATTATTATGTAATTTAAATTCATTTTTAATCTATATTTTGTGGAAAAAATAAAACAAACAATTAATTAATAAATAAATATTTAAATTAAATGTAAAATTTTAATTTTGAAAAATATGATTGATTGTGTCATAAAATGAAATTTTCGTATTTAAAACACATTTATAAATTAAAAATTTATTACGTTATTGTATTTGTATTATAACTTCACATTTTTTTGGCTTCAATCATGTCTTTCATTTGTGACAAATATTGAGCAAAAAATCTTTTGTATTATATTTACTGTTATTCCTATTTGTCTAATAATATTATTATTAAGTATTTGTATTATAACTTCACATTTTTTTGGCTTCAATCATGTCTTTCATTTGTGACAAATATTGAGCAAAAAATCTTTTGTATTATATTTACTGTTATTCCTATTTGTCTAATAATATTATTATTAATTATTATTATTCGATATCATTAATAAATTTTTAATTCTTAAACATTAACTGTTAATCATTAGCAGATTATTTACTTTACAATTGAAAATGAGTGTAATCTTATGCAATCAATATTTAAACATTAGATAATTACAGTTTTATTAGGCTTTAGTTAATCAATATTTATTGAAATCTATTTACATTATTGATGAAAATATTAAAAGATATAATTAATAAACATAAAATAAATAAAAATATGTAAAATGTTAGAGATGTGCCATTTGTGAGTCGGGTTTGCATCGAGTATTGAGCACTCGTTGATTGGCTGTTATATTCGTCGAGAACTCGGAATTTAATTGTCTTTTAGTAATACAAATGAATAGAAATGAAAGACATTTCACTGAATAGCGACGAAATCTAAATGACAAGAAATACAATTAAATTCACATCTATTGTAACACTATATCAAATAATTAATTATCAAATTCTACCTTTTATTCATAACCAGAAGAATTATCGGATCAAACCTATAATAAATGAATTTTTTAAATGCCAAAAGTTTTACACTTTAAGTGATGTAAAGTTACATAGAGTTAGACATTGCGAGCCAATAGATGCCGAGATATATGTGTTGAATAAATGGCGATAAAATCAGTTCTGGCCAGTGATATGTTAACAAGAAATATGTATGATATGGGAGCCAACCTATCGGACAAACATGTAATTAGTTAGCGATAAAAAAAATTAAGTTAATTAAAATACTGCACAACTTTTACTTACAAATGGCAAACACAGAGACCACTAGACATGTAACGAAAGATAAGAAATTAAGATTAACATGAATTTGTAGGCAATGTATTGATAATATATATTGGTAATCCTTACCGCAAATGAGCATGATGACCACTTTCTGCTTGGATCTGGTAATGGAGTGCTGTTGCGAAGAGTTGGCGTCGCCCTCTCCTATGGCCTGAGAGCCCCATAAGACTCGAGCCATGAGTGAATAGGCGATGACCATTGTTGACACGGGAACGATGTATGTCAACAGTAGAAACACTATGTTATAGCTGTTAACACATCGTATAATCCATTTCATAGCATCATTAGTGAAATTATTTAAATTGTATTTATTTAATACATAAACTATAGTATAGTCCATGCGTTAAGATAAACATGTTATTAGTTAACCAAATATTGTTGATCTAATTGCTCGACAGTATTGTGTATAAAAAACAAAATGAATTGCAAACAAAATACTCTAAACATTAATACTGTTATAATCAATATTAAAATATTTTTTATAACAGTATTATTTTTCATAATTAATTAATATTTATTAATTCTTTGAAAGTTTGAAATAATCATGAAATGTAATTATATTAATATAATAAATTACCTAAATCAATGTACTATTTATAGATAATAATTAGGCTTAGGAATTATAGTCGTAAATGTATAATGTTAAAACCATTTTTAATTGCATATCCAGTAAAACTTATTGAGTTGGAAACTAATTTAAATTTAATTAAATAAGCTCAATTGTCTTTTAAGCACTACTTTAATAGATATGAAAAATGTTTTCAAAGAATTTCTCATTACACTTACATTACTTTTAATGTAATAATATTACAATAAAACTAATGTATCTAACTAACTTATCGGATAATTAAATCTATGTAAAAATAATATAAAGTCAGTGTAAAGAGTACTGTATATCTTATTAATTAAATTTTAATCTAATTAAATGTAAAGTATGTAACTTATTATCACTCAAACTATGGCATAAAATCTAAATATACAGAAATGTAAAAACTTTGGGCAAATGGCATAAAAATAGTCAAAAGCATTAATAAAAGTTTCAAAAGTAAGTTTGAAATTTAATTTATTCGCCAATAAAAGCTATTCATTATATTTCTCATTTTGTTTCACTTTTCTCTTCGCAGGACATAAACAAGAAGAAAATTGCTATTTTGTACTCAAAATCTAATCTAAGGTTTGAATAATAGATGACTGCAATGAAATTATAACAAAACAATGTTTAGGTATTTTCTCTTCTGGTAAAGAATTAATGGTTTTGTACAATAAAGTCATTGAAACTCTCAACTTATGGTCGGTTCAAATGAACGAATATTTTTAGTAACAATTCCTTCAAATATAGTAAAGAAAGAAAACGAAATCAATTTTATTTGTTTGTCATTTTGACACTTAAGTGATGATCAGTTTCTATAAATACTTTGTATTAAATAGAGATTTACATGAAATCCAATTCTGACTGTCCGGACAGACCGTCGGGCCATTCGAGCAAACATATGGTTCGGCTTATGTTTTGGTCGTAAGGTATGGTTAGTGTCTGACCGAAGACAAGACACGGCATCGCAAACATTATACCACAGATCCATACGATTATAATTTGAGTGATCGCTGTTTGATATTATATTTAATCATTACATAAATACTGTATATTAATATTATAGTTGGAAATTAAATTACCTTTTCTTTTAGTCATTCGTGGTTTTAGTGGATAAACGATTGCAATGTATCTAAATTTGTGAAGAAACGCATATTATTTATTGTACAGTAAAATTGATTTTAAATAATTTGTTTATAATTTTAAATAATTTGGGTATTTTATCATTACAATAAAATTAAATTAACGTTAAATAATATTACATTTATATCATTAATCTGTAACGTCTGTCTTATGAGAAAAGGCAGAAATATTTTAGTGTTTCCAATTAAACAAAAAATATTTTTTTATATAATATTAAATTTGATAATAATTTTTGCAGCAAACTTTTTATTATTTAAAGTTTTGATTATTAGTTAGAAATTAGAAATAATTTTAATAATATGTAAAGTTTTTAATATATAGTAGCTTTATAAATATAAAAAGCTTTTTATATAAAGTCTTAGTTTGTAAGAAAGTATTGTATTTAAAATTTTTAGTAATTTAGTATTATTTTTGTTTAATGTTATTTATTTAGTCTGTCTCTAAGCCTCTCTCTCTCTCTCTCTCTCTCTCT